CTTTTCTTCCTTTTCTTCCTTTTCTTCCTTTTCTTCCTTTTCTTCCTTTTCTTTCTTCTTTCTTTCCTTTTTGATGTGATTTGGGGAAGGAACAGCTGTGTGGGTGCTCTGGGTGTGCTGCCACGTTGCCTGTAGCACTGCTGGGCTTTGTGTTCATCCCTGTGCACCCTGTGCTGCTCCCACCAGGACAGCATTTGCTTCTCATCAGTCCACCTCCCCTAATGCAGAATTAAAACTAAAGATCAATAAGGTCAACGGCATGTGTTTTTGCCAGGTTCTCTTATTCCGTGTCAATCTCAGAAGTGACAAAAGTATCACAGCAATGAGGACCTGGGGACTCCAGGCTCTGCTGGGTGCACTCAGTGGGTGATGCACGGGGCTGGAACAAACCTGCCTGCTGCTGTGCAGCTGCTTGTCTGCACGTGAGAGCAGAATTGTGCCTTCACTGCTCCAGAATTACCCACTCCCCTCTTTTCACCCCGGGGAAAGAAGCTCCCTCCTGCAGCTCTGCACGGAGCTCTAATGGAGCTGGGACACGTCGGGCATCCCCTGGATTTGCGTGCAGCTCGTGAGCTGCATTAAACCGGAGGTCCCCCCAGCTTTGTAGCCGTGATGCCATTTTTTGCACGATAAAAACCCCTTTGGAGAAACGCAGCTTCTCCTGCTCTCCCCTTGCCATGCCGCAGAAAGGACACGGCGTTGGCGCAGCGCAGCCCGTGGCTCCGGGCCTCGGTCGCCGCCACTGCAGCACTTGTTGTGAAGTGGCACCAGGTGGCAGCAAGCGACCGCCGAGGGGAGAGAAGTGGCCGCTGTCCTCCCCCCGCAGCCCCGCAGCAGAGGGCCGAATCCCCGTGCCGTCACCCAGGAGCTGGCAGCTCTCGGGTCAAACTCTCTTCTACTCGACACGTCCCGACGTGGAGGTTTAAAAACAACTCGGCTCGGATAGGGGTTCAATCATTATCTTGTTCTGCTGACACCAGAAGCCCCTCGGTGCTCCTGGGGCACCTGCGCACGAAGGATGCCGCTGTGCCGAGACGCAGGAGGCTGAAGGCAGGGCGCTGGGGTGGCACGCAGCAGCCGGCAGCGCCGCACGCACAGCCCGAGCTGGGGCACCGGGAGCTGCGCGCAGCAATGCGATCCGCAGCCTCTTCCTGTTGTGCAACCGCTGCCAGCGGCCCACTGAATGTTTGGGAGATTTGTCAGGACTGTTGTGCTTCCAGATAATGTTTATTTGCTTGTTTCAGGTCTGGCTTTCACAAGCAATGGATTTAAATAGCACAGGCTGAGGCAGGGCATGACTTGCTCCCCGAGCCCCCGCAGCCCCCTCCACACGCACTGTGCCCCGCACGCAGCCCTGCACTCCTGCTGGCCCCAGGCTGGGCTTGGCACCAATGTTATTTCCATTTTCACTGCTCAACCTTCACTCGATCCTGCCTTTATGTCATAGTTCAGCGTGGGATACGAGGCTGCTTGGCCAGCCATGCCCATGTGGGGGGCCTATGGCTTCGTGAAGACCAACAGACTCTGTGTGGCACCCTCTGTGCTCCCACACCTGCCCCTTCCCTGCCTTCCCCAGCCCCATTTTGGCTCCATCCCCTCTTGGAGCATCCCCTGGTAGAGATCAAGCTGGGAGCAGGATGTGCCTGCAGCGCTGGGGTCCGTGATGCAGCAGTGATCACAGTGTGAGTACCAGCGCCAAGGGCTGATGGCACCAGTGCCAGGGTACTCTAGCCATGTGCTGTGCTCCGGTTTTGTTGCCACTGGGATTTTGCAGCTTTTTGATACAAGGCACCTCAAGCCCGAGCACCCAGGGCAGAAACTTTTGTGTGACTCCTTTTTCCCTGAAATAAAAAGCACAGAGTCTTCTTGATATGTGCTACCATAAATCAAAAGTTGAACGGCCACCAGGACTCTGCAGGGAGGTGTCCGGGTGTCCCAGCCAGTGCGGACAGAACGTGGCACCAGTGGGGATGGGATGTATCATGGCCCTGTGGCCAGAGCACTCTGTGCGCCAGCCAGGACTGCTGTTCTTCATGGGCACCACTTCTAGGCCTCAGGAGCAAAGGGATTTTTACAGCTCTTGGGGAATGAGGGCTTATCTGAGATTTAGTAACACCAGGTCATTGTCCTGTAGCCATGACTGTGGTCACAGTGTTTCCCCCATTGCTGCCAGCTCTGTGTTTCTGGGCTCCACGCTGTTCCCATCCTTCCTGAAAACAATGTGCTTGCATAATGTGCCTGAAGGTTAATTACCGTTGGAGCATCCTTCCTGATGGTTCCTGCTCGAGAAGAGGATCATAGAATCATAGAGCTGGTGGGCAGCCTATAGCTGAGACCAAATCTTGGCCACAAAGGACAACTGGGGGCTCCCAAAGCAATGCAGCTGTTGTAGGCTGGACTGGCTGGCAATGTTTTTTTTTTGGCAACATTGCCCAGCAGTTCCTTCTGGGGAGATTTATTCTTAGCTGCCTGCCTCTTTACCTGGCCCTGGCCAGGTGGGCTGACATTTCCCAAAGTTACAGAAGTCCAACAAAGGGAAAGCAGCAGAACGTGTTGGCATCATTCTCCCCCGAGAGCATGGATTTGGGATCTGTAGGAAAGGACCGGGCTCATCCTGCATCACGGTGCCAGCTCAGGCTGTGCTTGCCGGGTCACCTGTCCCAGCACCCAGCTGTGCCTCACAGGTGGGACAGAGCGTGCCTGAGCCAGCAAAGCCTGCTCCTAAAAATAACTTTCTTATCTTCCACTCCATCCAAATCAACATCAGCTCAGGCTATAAATAGCTTTGTGTGCTGAGCAGGGTTGATGTCAGGAAGGGCTGCGTGCAGGGGCTGCCGGCAGGGAGGGGATGTAGGGGCCCTTCTGGATGTTCCCCAATGGACAGTCACCCCAAACCTCATTGAGCTGGGCTCTCTGGGGTGGAAAGGATGCTCCCCCTTGTTTCATCTCCTTGCAAAACAGCTACCAAAAGAAGTCTGGGTAAATAATGCCCCGTGTGCCCTTGCTGAGTCAGGGCCTCGTACAGGTCATCACTTGAACCCCCCACACTGTTTGGGCTGCAGAACCCTGCATGGATCTGACATGACCTGGTGTCATCCTGCCCATGATCTGGCCTCATGCTGCTATGCCGTGCCACGCTGCATGCTTAGTGAGTGTCCCCTGGTTCACTGCTTCCTCGGGTCCCAGCCCTGGCTTAAGGGGGTGAGCATGGGTGGGCGGTAGGCTCAGGAAATGGGAATGTGATCCAGCGCCATTTCCCCACAGGTTAAGTGGTGGGAATTACTGTACCTGCTAATCCCTTGGCTCAGCTGCCGGGAACAGCCCAGCTGGGATAAATCCTGGATTTTACAGCCTTGTGTACGTCCTGGAAACAGGCTGTGTGTCCCCGCTGTGCCCACACCTCCTGCCCCAGGATTGGATGAGCCCACAGCTCCGCATGGCTGTGGTGGCAGTGGCTCCCACTAATCCAGGCTGCTTCTTATGGGAATACCCCAGCACAGGGCTGTTTGAGAGCTCAGGGACATGTGTGGCCCTAGTGGAGGTGCCAGCAGGGCTGGCAGCCCAGGGTGTCCCGGTGTCCTGCGCTGGGCCCCAGCCAGAGCCCTTGGGTTTGCTCCTCTGGGCACTAAAATTAGTGACAACATCAAAGGGGGGAGGGGAGGAGAAGAGAGGGAGAGTCTTTGTTTACTTTAATCAAAAATAATTTGTGGCAACACATCTTCTTCCAAAGCAAACAGAGCAGGAGCCTGCCCGTGCTAATTCGGGAAGCTGGAAGGGAGTGAAATGAAAGCGCAGACCTGGGACAAGGAAATGAGCAGTCTGCAGGGCGAAAATAGAGCAGCAGAGCTGGGCAGCCTGGCTTTCTCACCTGGGGG